CTCTCTCTCTCCTGTCTCTAGATATCCCCTATGTGTTGAAGCTGGAGTCCCACCCCCACACCACCTGCTGGCCAGGCCAGTCCCTGTACTTCATGGCTCCCAGCTTCCCTGACAAGCAGCGCTGGGTGGCCGTGCTGGAGTCCGTCGTGGCCGGAGGGAGGAGTTCACGGGAGAAGGCAGAGGCTGATGCCGTGAGTAAAAAATCTTTTGTTTAGTAAGTAAAATTTTAAGAAAGAAATGAGAAATCTAAAAAGAATACATCCTTTACCAATTTTGTGACAAGGAAAATCAACAGGCCATTGCACCCTCATACCAGAGGCCCTGCAGTCTTCCGTTTATAGTGATCTCAAAAAGAGTGCTTGACGACAGACCTAGAAACAGTTTTCCTGAACTAATCTGGCAAATAGAGTGCCTTGCAAATGTATAGAGACCCCTGCTGTGTTGCCCGTTTATGACATTACAAGGCAAGGGCGGAGCGGAGGCTCTGTGGCTCAGGATCTGCACCTGTGACTGGAAGGCTGCCGGTTCAAATCCTGCGGCCGGCAGAAGAATCCTACTCCGTTGGGCCCCTGAGCAAGGCCCTTAACCCCAACTGCTCCAGGGGCGCCGTACAATGGCCGACCCTGCGCTCTGACCCCAAGCTTCTCCATGTCTGTGTGTCTCTGTCTCCATGGAGAAAAGCTGGGGTCTGCGAAAAGACGAATTCCTAATGCAAGAAATTGTATAGGGCTAATAAAGAAACATTATAAACATTATTATAAACAAAGGCACTGCGATGCAGTCAGAGCAGAGCTCTGCTGTGACAAGTACCAAGGGGCGGTGTGGCGTCACAGCACCCAGCCCGCGGATCCGCAGGAACCATCAGAACTGGACCGGCTGCATCCGCTGCGGAGCTGCAACAGTAGGAATCCCCTTCGCAGCCTTGCTGTGTGCCGGAGGGGCCTGTGTGTGGCCTTTCTGGAAGAGCGGGCTCACGCTCAGGTGCTGCCCTTGCAGCCTGTGGCCCTCAGGGGCCCGTCGGCGCCCCGCAGGCCGTGCTGTAACGCAGGCGAGGGCCATGTGCTAGGGTCAGCTAGGGTCACTTGTCTTTTAAAAGGTCTTTTTTTTTAACATCCTGACAGAGAACGTGTGTGTCTCTTCCTGTGGTTAACTGGATCTCTTTCTCTTTCTCTCTCTCTCTCTGTCCTGACTGTCCTCCTGCTCCACGGTGTCTCGCCCATTGCGTATACGTATCTATAACTCTGCATGTTGATATCGGTGTTGATCTGCCTGTCCTCCCCATCCCATCCTGTGCGCCTGTGTTCATAGGCCAGTGCTTCCAAAAGGCAGATGGCTCTTTCCCCATTGGTGCAGGTAAAGACCTGTATGAGGCTGCCTTCTGCTCCACCCCACACCTGCTGCCAGCTCACTGACCAGACACGT